TTAATTTAAAATTATTCAATAATATTAAAATTAATATTAACTCTTATATTTTTTAATATACATTTACATAAAAAAAATTGTTTTTAACTTCTGCCCGAAGAGTAGAAGTTGAAAAACCTAAGTGCTAATTTGGTCTCTCATTTACTACTCGGTATCTGTTGAAAGATTTTAAGCCATTTTAACACACTGGCTCGATTTAAGGTTAAAATTTCAAAATATTTAACCATCGGAATTATAAAAAGCTCTTAAAGATTTCCGAAAGTTTTGTTTAACCAAACATCACAGAGGGGACAAACCAATATAGGTCCTAAAGCAACTTAGTCACTAATATTAAGCAATTTTATGAGTTTGCAATTTTGCACCCAACAAAAAGACCATTTGAGAAGGTTTAACCCCTTCTATTTAATAATTAATTTTATGTAGTTGAATGGAATTTATAATATATAAAACATTTATGTAATTATGTCAACGACTTAAATAATTTAATAATAATATCTATTTTTTTGAAAATAAGAAATTAAAAATTAGAATCATATATTATGTAGATAAGATAAAATAAAAGATAAAATATAATTATTTTATATTGTGCAACTAACATAAAAAAAAATATTTATGTAATTTTGTAAATGTTGGTTACAAACCTCTCAATTGTACTGGTGCTAAAATTTCACAACGTCAAAAGAATAAAAATAATCATTAATTCTTAAATGTGCACAAAAAATGCTAATTTTATTTCCTAAACTTTAAATTTTGCACTTTTGCGTCTCTCAATTTTTCAATATGAACAAAAAATGTCCTCCCTTGTACTAATTAAGCACTTTTTCATCTTTTAATATAGATTTGTATGATACCAAAAAATTATAACTTAATTGGTAAAAGAATTTATTATCTATTTTATTAACTAAAATTTGTTTTTTTAATAAAAATTAATAATAAATAATTTTTCATAAAATTTCTAATTCTCTAAGGATGAGATACCTTCAATAAAATTTGGAGAGGGATTGCTCCTAATGTGCTACACGCGAACTGAGGACACCCACCACTAAACCCAAACCAAAAAAAAAAAAAAAAGATTTCTCTGATTAGTTCAAAGATTAAATTAGTGTAAGACCAGAAAGGTGCAAAGATTAAAGTTTAGGGACTAAATTATCATTTGAACAAAATTTCACGAGTGCTGAATACCCAATTTACCCGAAGAAGTTGCTGAGACAGATGAAGAACAGGCGTATCTAGTATCTACTCCAAAAGAACAACGAAAGATCCACCATACAGGGCCCAACCATTTGATTTTCGATCTAGGTAAAGAACCACTTGGAAAGATTTCGAGCTCCAGTTTCTGCATTCAGGTATACCCACTTGCTTTAATCCGCCTGTTTCTTTATTTTCTTTCCTTCCTTTTCCCTGTGATGAGCAGAAGGTGGCTGTTGATGTCGGTTTTGTTAATCAGAATAGTTGTTAATGCTGTTTGGGTTTATTCCTCTAGCTTGGTTCAAGGGAAAGTGACAATGGTTCTCGTAAATGGGTGAAATTGCTTGCACTTGTAGGTTTAGCAGAAGTTGGCATGTGGGAAGTAACAATTTTGATTGTGGGGTTTTCTTTGTCATAATTGACAACAGCAAGTGCTACCCTTTTCATCTTTTATTCTGTTGGGTTGAATTCTGTACGTGAATACTTGTAATTTTTTTCTTCTTTGGTGGAATTCTTGGGTTGGATTCTGTTGCTTGTTGCATTGTCGGCATCTAATAGTTTCCTTTTGCAGCTGATTATCAATGAGATTGCCAATGATCTTGTTAATTGAATGATTGAGATCATAATCAGATGTAATAAAGGATTGTGGGTTCAGTGCGGTAGAATGTGAACAATGTTAAGGGATCTTCTTTTCTGTTGTTCTAGATGATAATAAAAATTGCTTTTGGGGTTATTCTTATGGTCCAGAAGATTGTTGACACTTCTGGAAGGAGCTGGTAAGATAAATAAATCCTACTGCAATTTAGAGGATATATATATATTTTTTGAACAGGTACAAATTTGGGGAGAGGGGATTTGAACGCAGCACCTAAGGCTGGGGGTACACCTTCTTAAGGCTTATAGCCAGTTGGCCTTCTAGGCCAGGTGCACAATTTAGAGGATATTGAATAAGGAGAACACGAGTGTTTGTGTTTCTTTGAGAGAAAATGCAGAATCAGGAGGGGCCTGTAGCTGATGGAGAAAAAGAGTCTAGTGAATCTCTTCAAGCTCTTCCACCAAATGAATTTGAGATTGAGGATTGGGCAAACTTTGTGGATGACGATGTTATGCAGCAGCAATCTGCAATTCATGCTGAGGAAGCAAAGAAAGTTCCATTCGTTGGTGACAAGGTAAGAGCAACACAATTTTATTAATTTCTTTTCCACCTGTTTGTATTTGCCATTTGTAGTTGGTTCAGATCTTTTGCTTGAATTTTAATTAATCAATCTTGCAATGGCTTTAGATTACTGTCATTTATTTCTGATGCTATGCCTGGTTCCTTCCCCTTCATGCATAGTGATAATCATATGGTAGGGGCTGTGGGGGATTCCAAACTAGGACATGAATCCCTATTCTCTAACATATATAGTTGAACGATTGTTCTGTTTTTTGTAGGATTCTCTTTGTTACTCAATTAGCATTGGATTTTATGACTGCATTTTATTGTTATTGTAATTCATTGAGCTTCTTTAAGACAAAAATTGAATTGAAATTATACTTTGCTTCATACTATAGTTTTGCATGGATATAATTATGCAAGGCCAATCTTCATGTTTATCAATTTTGGCCTGAATTTCTGCTGATGCAACTGCAGGAACCTCTCTCAATGTTGGCAGCTGGATATGAATCTGGCAGCCCTATTTTATTAGAAAAAATAAAGGTATTCCTCTTCTCTGTGCACACCTTTTTTTATCTTTTTGGTTTTTTATTTTTATTTTTATTTATTTATTTATTTTTTTCGTTTTGGCCAGACTTCTTTTTGGTTCTTATTGCTAGTAGTAATTGTTTGTTCATATATTTTTTTTAAAGAAAGAGCTGATTTTTGTTGGTGCAGGTGCTTGGTCAACAATATGCTGCAATTAGGCGAACACGAGGAGATGGAAATTGCTTTTTCCGAAGCTTTATGTTTTCATACCTAGTGCGTTATCTTGTTAACACATTACAACTGGATTTTGTTCTTTTGAAGTCTCTTTTTTTTCTTTTTTTTTTTTTTTTTTTTTTTTTAAGCATCTTACTTGAGGGAAGTAATTCTCTCCCGTAAATTTTTGGTGCTAAAATTTGGCCTGCTGAATAGGAGCATATTTTGGAATCACAAGATCAAGCTGAAGTTGACCGTATCAAAGGAAATATTGAAGAATGTAGAAAAATGCTCCAGACTTTAGGCTATGCAGACTTTACCTTTGAGGACTTCTTTGTGGTAAACCTATTATCTTCTTTTCTTTTTCTTCTTAGTCTGCCCACTTGCATCAAGACAGGATATATATATGAGAAAAATGTTTTGCAGGTTTTCCTCATAACTTTTTTTTTTTTTTTTGGAGGATCTATCTCAAAACCCCTTCTAATTAATATTTTCAAAAACCAACCATTGAATTGAAAGTTCTATTTATATAGATCATGTATGCCAATTTTCAAATTGTTCTAGTAGACCTAACCACTTTATTGATTACAGGAAATTTAACACCATTAAATATATGCCAATAAATAGAGTTTCTTTGATCAAAGGGTTATAAGTGTTTAGATCAATATGAAAATTAACATGCATGATCTACCTGAATATAACTTTCAATTTAAATTAAAAGGTAGGTTTTTAGACAGGTCCTTCAAAAAAACTTTTGGGAGAATGACCTACCATACACTATCGCCTCTCTCTCTCTCTCTATGTATATATATATATATATTTAAAAGCCTGGAGACTCACAGTATCGAATACAATATATTAAAATAATTTATCTTATATTATATATTTGGAGTAAGATGCATCATGACATTTTCTGCATGTAACTATTTATCATAGTCTACATGTAAAGGGTTAAAATGAACAATTTAAAGGGTTGATGATATAATATTGAGATCGCTGTTGTTTTTTAAAGCTTGATCAGACTCTGGAACATGCTTGGAGAAAATTTTTATCCATCTCTAATACCTTCTCTGCCTTTTGCAGTTATTCCTTGAGCAGCTGGAAAGTGTTATTCCAGGAAATGAAACTTCTATAAGGTGTGTCAGTGAATTGTTCCTTTAGTTTGCCTTTTTTTCTTGTGGAAATTTGAGTCATTACTGTTCTTCACTTGGGGATGGGGTGCATTATGATAACCAGGAATCATCATGGAATGGAATAGTTTCACATCAAAATGTTGAGTTATCTGCATTTGTGGATAACATTACTCTTTGAGCTTGTTTAACATGTTTTTCCTTTTTCCCAGTCACGATGAATTGATAATTCAGAGCCAAGATCAGTCAGTATCCGACTATGGTAAGTGGGGTTCACAGTTTTAAGGTGTTAATGTATATTTCTTCCAACTACATCATAAGATCATAAGAAGTTTGGTTGTTTAGTTGTAATGTTTTTCAGATTCGTGACCTCTGCTGAAATACAAAAGCGTGCAGAGTTTTTTGAACCCTTTGTTTTGGGATTGACAAATGCATCGGTGGAACAGGTTCGTTTTATTTTTGAAAATTTCTTCGTAACATATTAGCATTTGACATGATGGTAGGCAGTGTTACATTTTTGTAGCAAAAGCCATGGAACAGTAGTGAATGCCTAATTTAATTTGGTATTATGTTGCAGTGTTTAAATCAGTTAATGTTTGCACTAACTCTTTAAAGTTGGATTAATACAGCTGTCTGCTTATGTCTTGTCTGTGTTCTATAAGTTTGTATAGTTAATATTTTCAAGCAATAGAATCTACTAATTGTCAGTACTTGGAAGTTACTAAAATTCCTACCGTACTCATATTTCTACTGTAGATATTCCTATTTATGCATTTTATGAACTTTGGTTTCAAATTTTAATCAGTTCTTCAAATGGCACATAGCCCTGTAAATTTAAGGTCTTAAATCTCATGATATGATCTCTTTTGTAGTTTTGCAAGTCATCAGTAGAGCCAATGGGTGAAGAGAGTGATCATGTCCACATAACTGCCCTTTCAGATGCCTTAGGTGTGCCAATCCGTGTTGTATACCTTGATCGCAGCTCATGTGATTCAGGCACTGGCAGTGTCAGTGTGAACCATCATGACTTTATTCCTACTTCTGTCGCTAATCCAGGTGCTAAAGGTGATACAACTGAGGCTATCAAACCTTTTATCATGTTGCTATATCGTCCTGGTCACTATGACATTCTCTACCCAAAATGATGCATGCTCTCACTTGTTCTGGTAAGCTGGTTTACATGCGTTTTGAATTTTTTGCTATTAATTGAGCACTCTGCTACATCACTCCATGCTAGACCAATAGGAAGTAGGAACCTAAACCTCCCTTGATATTTTACACTGCCATTTATTTTATAGGCTAAAATGCCTCATGTTTTAGTTGGACCACCAATTCCTTTGTTTAAAGTGAATAATAGCAGTTTCTGTGACTTCCCACTTGGTCTTGGCACCAAGGATGCAATAGTTTTCTTATGTTACTCATACCTCTGCTTGAGTTTACAAACACAAATTTTGGTGATGTTTTCTCTTATTTGTTATGCAGGATGTTCATGATATCCTGATCGAAATAAATCAGGGCCTCACTGGTAAAAGTAACTTGGAAGGGAGGGATACCCTGTGTGGTAACATAACGGCCTGTGCGTTCATTGTTTGCGCTGTAAACTGTGGTTCTAAACTTTTTTCGTTTTTTCTTTCTGATTTGGTTCTCACAAAAACTGCATGGGTAGAGACAACCGCGAGGGTGACTGAGGACCTGGGAAAATTGTAGCTCTATAGCCTTTCAGGATTGCATCGCATGTGGAATGGCAATTATTGATAAAAGGAATTTTTTGTTTTTTTTTTTTATCAACTTGAGGAAAGGAATGTTGATTTGTTATTAAGATTGAAATGAGCTTTTCTCTTGCATCCTTATTGGTTCTATGCCTGAGTTCCATGATCATGCTCTGATATTATTAGGGAGTTCTTTACTGTTCGCATATCAGTTTGTTTTAAAGAATGAAGATATTGATTATCCGCAGCCACAGGGCGATGGTTTTGACAGAAAAGCAGTGAGGTCACCGCACCTAGATCCCTGGCATATCAAAATCATGAGCGATATTATGAGGGTTAACCCTCCTTCCCAAATTCATCTCTTTGAAGGTTTAAAAGTCTTTAGACTCCAATTTCTCTCAGAACAATCCAAAATTTTATGTTCCGGGCTGTTTTAGAGTTGAAGTAAATCCGGAAAAATATTATAAATCATTTAGCAATGTTATATCTCAAAGGAGGTGACTCAATAGTTATGAACTTGAGATTCTAAGTTGGGGATTCTAAATTTGAATCTTGAGTCGGGTGGGGATAAATTTAGGGAAAAATTTAGGAAAAATGAGGTTATCTGCTCTTATATAACCCATTATTATTTGATGTATCAAAAAAAAAAAAAAGCAATGTTATAATTATAATCACATGTTAAATTGTAAATATACTATCATAATAAATTATAAATTGAGTTATATATATAATATTATGAATGAACTTTTAAATAAAAAAAGTTAATATTATTGTGAATTTTTTTATTGGTGGATATTTCGCCTTCACATTCACCTTCTTCCATATTGTAATTCCTCACTATTAAGGGATCATTCATGATTCCACTAAAAGCCATTCAAATGTCCACTAAGGTGTCATTCATGGCTCCACTAAGATGCTATTCATTCTCTCATTTAGTCTTATTCAATGGTTAATATAACTCTCACATGTCCCTTATTCTATATATAGGTCTATAAATTTTTATGATTGGTATATAGAAGAGTATATGATAAAATAAAAAATTCTCACTTTTGTTTGTTATCTTGCTACTTTTTCTTTTATTTTATAATACATTATCAATACGATCATCTCTACCATTTAATTTGTGGTAAGCTGTTAAGATAATCCTTTGTTTTCTAGTTTCAATTTGATTTCAATATTCAACAAATTTTTGTAGCTACAATGTCAATAACAAAACTTGAATTTGCTAACGTTAATATAGTAGGCTCAAATTATTTACTATATAGACACTTGATGCTGAAATCCTTTTTTCTTTTTTCTTTCGATCAGCCAAACCAAATGAATAATTTATTAATAAAGGAGTATAAGCAATACTCCTTAAAGACAATACAACTCTATGTCCTTGAAACTAGATGCAAACCTATTACATATTGAGAAGGGAACCAAGAGTTGACAAAATAGTTCCAGGAAAAAAGATGTAAAAGCAAATCAACACCTAATCCTATTCAGTAACTTGTAACTTCTCAAATTGTTGTGATGTTGCACCAGACTTTCTCAATATTCCACAGGCGTTAATATCCAGTCTTGATAAGTGAATCCACAACTTGTCACTTTATTCTTTAACCATACAAAAGATTTAATCTGAATGGACTCTAATAACAAATCCTTATGCCACAAATTATTCTCAAACACCTTTATATTCCTCCAATACCAAAGAAACCAAGCAACAACTAAGAATATGAAAAGCACCAAAATCTTTCCCCTTTCCCCCACCTATACCTTGCATCACTACATCTGCCAATCCAAATATGTCCTTCGGTAAAACACCTTGCCAACCCTACCATTTCAAAACCTGCATCCGTACTCTCTATACCACTTTACATTCACAAAAAATATGAGAAAAACACTCCACTCCCTCATTACAAAACTCACAGCCCACTACCCCCTCCACCAAAACCCCTCTCAAATATAAATTCTCCTTAGTTGGCAACCTATTCAAAAATAACCTCCACCCAAATATACTCAATTTGGAGGGAACATATTGACACCAAATAACTCTCAACCACCTCTTATCCACAATACAGTCCATATGTGTTAAGAAAGCATAAGCATCTTTCGCAGAATAAGCACCATTACCTTTATGAACCCATCCCCAAAAATCAGCTTTGTCCTTCCTCACCTTGACACCATTAATTAAGTCTCGAAAATGATCCTCCTTGCTACCCGCCCTCCCCATACAACTACGATGCCATCTACAATCCCATACCCAATCATCCCCACTCCAAAAACCCATATTCTTGATCAACACCTCCTTATCCATTGCTAACTCAAACAACCTAGGAACTAAGTTCTTCAACGAATTATCTCTGACCCACTTATCCCTCCAAAAGTCTACACGACTACCATTCCCAACTTCCCATTTAAAACCCTTTGCTAACATGACATTCAACTTATCACACTCATACCCAATACTCACAATGTCCTTCCACACCCTAGACATATTCAAATAATCAAAAGAAAGGATATTGGCCTCCATCCTACCCCCATAATATTTCTCCCATATCACTCTTTTCCACAATCCCTGCTTCCCATCCCCTAACCAAAACCACCATTTACCTAGCAATGCCCGATTCCTTCTCTCCAGATTAGCCACAGCCAAACCCCCTCACTCTTTATCCATACAAATATTAGCCCAACTAACCCAAGCAATTTTCCTCTCCAAACAAGTACCACCCCAAAAAAAGTTTCTCTAGATTTTAATTATCTCAGCACACACACATTTAGGAATTTTAAATAAAGAAAAATAAAAAATAGGAAGAGCAGAAAGTACCGAGTTGATTAAGGTGATCTGACCTCCAAAGGACAATGAGGGGCTTTTCCAAGTGGCAAGCTTAATGCGAAAACGATCTAGCACCGATTCCTAGAATCTTTTCCTCCCCGACTTCCCTTCAACCAGTAAATCAAGATAAATACAAGGCACCTTACCCACTCCACAATGCAGAATATCAGCAGCACCCTTAATCCACCCTTCAGCAACATTAAAACCATACAAATGGCTCTTACTAAAATTTATACGTAAATCAGAAATCAATTTGAACCAGTGCAGAATAGCTTTCACTACCCTTAATTTCCCACATCTGCCTTTCCGATAAAAACAGTATCATCCGCAAATTGTAATAAAGGCAACATCATACCACCCTTCCCAATTTCCACTCCTCACAACAGCCCCTCACCCTCTGCTTTTTTCACAAGACCACACAATCCCTCGCTAACTAGTAAAAACAGAAAAGGAGACAAAGGATCACCTTGATGAAGACCTTTACCAACTAAGAATTCCTTTGTCGGACTTCCATTAATTAAAATTGAAATTCTTGCTATTGATAGACATTCATGCATCTACTGCCGCCATTTAACCTTAAAACCCATTTGAGCCATCATCCAATCTATAAAAGACCAATCTACCTAGTCATACGCCTTTTCAAAATCAGCTTTAAAAATAAAGCTCACCTGCTTCCTTTTTTGTACCTCATTCACTACCTCATTCACTACCTCATTCAAAATCAACACACTATCAACCAATTGTCGTCCACCCACAAATGTTGCTTGCGAATTAGTAATAATGTCCATCATCACCTTTTTCAATTGATTCGCCAATAAAGTTTGTGTAAACAACCAATCAAACTAATAGGCCTATACTCTTTAAAATGCACAAGATTTAACTTCTTAGGAATCAATGCCAAAAATGAAGAATTTAAGCCTTTCACTAACTTCCCATGTTGATGAAACTGCATCATGAAATTTATAAAGTCGTCTTTCACTGTGCTCCAAGGAAACTTTATGAAATTAATTGTAACCATTTGGTCCTGGTGCCTTAGACCCATCGCAACTTTCAAGTCCCTCTTCAATTTCCTCAATGGAAAAAGGTCTTTCTAATCATTGCCTTTGTGCCTCTGAAAGGCTTTTAAACTAAGAACCACTCATTATTGGGCGACTCCATTGTTCATTATGAAACAATTGACTAAAATACTTCACAGCTTCTGCTTTTACCACATCTGGTTCCTCAACCCATCCATCCTCACTCATAACCCCTGAAATTGCATTTTGTGCCCTCCTTGCTTGCACACTTCTATGAAAGAACCTTGTATTTGCATCCCTAAGGCAAACCCAATTTATTCATGATTCTTGTCTCTAAATAGCTTCCCTCTTCTTTAAAATATCGCACATCTCCTAAAAACACTCTCTTCTCATCACTACTTCTTCTACACTCAACTCCACTTCCTCACTTTTTTTATCCAATGTCTCAATATGTTCTGATAAATTAACAAATTGAGCCTCCACATTGCCAAAAACATTTCTATTCCAGCTTCTCAAATCCTCCTTAAATAGTTTCAGTTTCTGCTTGCATTTGTAAGCTGCCCATCTGTTTACCTGTAATGTTTTCCATCTATCTTCCACCAACTCGAAAGTCTGGATGTTGTTTCCATGCATCAAGCACTCGAAAGGGCTTTGGACCCCAATCTACGTTGCTTAACTTCATAATGATAGCACAATGATCTGAAATTGATCTTTTAACTCTAACTTGATTCCAATCCAGACCTAAGACACTCATATCAGCAGATAACAAAAACCTGTCAATCCTACTCATTGAAGACCCATCAAGCCTATACCATGTGATTTTCTATTCATCAAATTAACATTCATCAACCTAATAGCTTCAATAAATTGATTGAAATCATGCATATTTTGTGTCTCTCCCATTTTACCTTTCATCTCTCATATATTCCGGATGGAATTAAAGTCCCCATCCAAAAGCCATCTGCTGTCGCTTTCTAAAACTAAATCACCAATCTCCTTCCACAATAACACCTTCCTATGTCTGTTACAAGGAGAATAGATATTAATAAAGGTGCACCGTAGCTGCTCTTGACCCCAATCACCAAAAATACCAATGAAACCATCATCCTCAAACACACTCTATTTAACAAACCTCTTCTTATTCCAAATATACAACAAACCACCAGAATTAACGATTGATTTTTGCATTACCCATTCAAAATCATCTGAATTCCACAAAAATCTACACACATAACCCTCAATCCTTTCTAATTTTGTCTTTTGAATAAATGGAAAATCAAGCTCCTCCTTCCTTTTTAATAAAGTACCCAAACCTCTA